ACACACACACACACACACACACACACACACACACACACACACACACAGCTATCTGTACCTGCTCTTTACTACAGAAAGGAACCCTTTCACCCTGACATACTTGGTTCTATCAGTCAAAATTATTTGTACTGACAGCTTTTGCTTTGGACAAGAAGTTTAAGACAACAAAACAGGCTGCTTGTGCTAACAGATTCAGGGGTTAGCAGGGGCTCCAGGTGAGATGGCACTGTAGGCGCCCGGATGGAACGGCGGCAGCACACAGGCACAGCTTGCCTTTCTCCACACCGTGCCAGGAAGTGGGGAGTGTGCCCGGGCTGTGGCTGCAGCCGCCTCAGGCAAATGCAGAGTCCTGAGAGTGCATGGGCTGTGTGACGCACAGAGGTGCCCAGGGGTGAGAATGGAGCTGCCCAGGCTCCTAATGGGGCCTCCCACTCAGGAGGCAGCAGGGCTAGGGGAGGGAGCTTGACAGGGAGTGTCTGCAGAGACACTGGGATGCCAGGCCAGCCCCAAGCTCCTCTCCCTCAAGTTGCCACCAGGGAACACACCTGTGCCCAAAGAAGCCATAAGGGCCTTCCCTCAAGCTTCCCCAGCCTGGAGCAAGTCAAACCTTTCTCCCTCCATTGTTCCTGAACCCCTTGCTGCCCGAAGTCGGGGCCTGTCTCGCCCCATTCACACAGGAAACTTGGGAATTATGGAAGTCCCATCCCAGGGGGGGGGGGGGGGGGGAGAACAGAAAAAAATCAGTTCAGACTCTTGTCTCTAAGTCCTCTGGTGAGGAGAAACAGAGAAGGCCAGGGCAGGATCTAGCCATGCTAGCTTCCCTCGGGTGTGCTCCTGGGCCGAGGCTCCCAACTCAAGCCCCTCAAGCCCGCCTGTTGACCCCCACCACACTCATCCCAGCCACACTGGTGCCTCCAGCCGCAGGCGGAGGCCACCTTCCCAACAGCAGCACTTGGAAACAAACATGCAAATCCGCCCTTCCCAGCCACGGGCCCTCTTTTGGCAGAACAGCTCCACGTCTCTGTGGTATCAGCGCTGCCAAGCACCTGCCTGTGAGGCCCTTCTGTGCTCTGCGCCCAGAGGGGGTATCTGGGAAGGTGGAAGGCCTGGGCTCTGTACCCTGGACATCTCCACTGGCCACATGGCCAGGTGACTGGGGAAGCTGGGCCAGGACGCGCCTACGCCAAGCAGGGTCAGCTGGGCTGGGCTCTAGGCTTGCCCAGCAGGTTACCATTCAGCTTGGATACAGGTCTAGCAGGGGAGAGAAGGCCCCAAACTTGAAGCCACAGCAGATTCTGCTACAGGGTAGCGGGATGTCTGCGCACCCATCCCGCACTCAGCCCTGTGCACAGAGCTGCGCTTCCAAGCATGGCCATGGTTCTATGTCCCCCTTCATCGTCGTTGTAGGGATGTGAGGGGCCACGCACACATAAACGCATCGACATGTGACAGACACCTCTCCTCCGCGACAATTCAGCTTAACTACATCCTATGTTTCTGATGAATGCTTCAAAATCCAGCACTGCAATAGCCCCCCAAGACCCCAGAGTGCTTCCAGCAGTGTCCCAGCCTCCTGACACTTTGGAGAAGATTCGGCTGGCTCTAGCAAATGCTGGTCTGCGCCCCATACAACTGAGGGAGGCCTACAGGCAGAGTCCACAAGGGCACCAGGAGAGGTCACCCTGGGAGAGGTCACCCTGGGAGAGGCCAGAGCAGGCTGACCCTGCCCAGCAGCTTGCTGGAATGCTATCTGTGGAGAATGCCTCATGCCAAGCTGGCTTTGGCCTCAGACTTTCTCCCTAGAGCAGAGTGAACACAGCGTCCGTCCCCTACGAAGGCAGACCGTAGGTCCCTGCACCCTCCTGCGCTGGGCCGGGCGCATGGCTAAAGTGCTCTGCACATTTCCTCCAGGGCCCCTTAAATGCCCAACCCCTGCCTTGGTTTCGTTCATTTCTTTTGTCTTAGGGACTGGCCTCTTTCTGGCGGCAGAAGCCACCCGAGCGGCTGGAAAGCTGGCGGTGCCACCATCCCTCTCGGGGCTCCTGGTCAGCGGCCAGGGCCTCAGAACACATTCCTTTCCAGTCCATGTCCACAAGCACACTGTAACTTGAGGGTCCAGTGTATCTATGTCACTCAGGGGTCCAGGTTCAAGGTTAGTGTCATAGCTTTTAAGGCCAACATTGACAACATTTCTGAACTTTGGCAGCGAGAGCAAAGAACAACGGCCAAGGCCAGAATTCCCCAGGGGAGCAGCAGACCTTCAGGCAGTACCCATCGGGTAAGGAGCTGTCTCTGTCACATGCCTCCATGTCGCTGCCCTTCCTCCTTTGATCCGTCTCTAAATAAAATCATCAGAAGTCTATCCCTCATGTCTTTCCTACGGCACGGCAATAACAGTACCCAGATAGGGCACTGTCACGTCACAGGTTTTACTGTCAATTTGAGGTGACACTTCATCTCCCCAGAGTCAAGTGAACCCTAAAAACCTTAATTGTCCAAACGCAGGAAACTATTAAGTTTCCAATGCGAAGCCTTTGCACAGGTGTAAACGCTGTTGTTTGGTGGGGGTGGAGGTGGGGGGTGGCACTGTTAGGACAGGCTGGTTACCAGCTTCCTCACTGCTGCAGGCCCTGAGGTGGGGGCCAAGCTTGTTCCCACACAGTCTCCCCATGTGCCTCTGGCCACAAGTGCTCCGGGCCCTGTCCTGGAGTGGGTGTCACACACACTACGTCTGTCTGCTTGATGCTGCCCCAGCCACGTCCAAAGCCAAATGGATCAGATGAATGGCAACCACAGACCGGAGCTTCACACAGACCAACGTGGGGGAGAGAATGAGCCGCTGGGGAGGGGAGGAAGCCACTGGGTACCTACCTCCTAACGCAGGACAAGCAGGGACAGCCCGTCACAGAACAGAAAGGTGGGAGCCACAGGCAGAAGGAAAACAACAAGAAGGCACATTTAAACCACTCGTCAGAATCACAGCCACGCCAAAGCACGAGAAAGCACACAGGTTGTGAGGTAAAGGCACTTGCTTCTCAGGCAGAACCACCCGGATTCACGTGGACACTAACTCAGTAGCTGTCTGGGACGGCTCGTGCAGTGAGGGCTGCAAGCCTGGCCCACTCTGGGAGGCCGCAGCTCCGAATGGGCTCTGGCTTCACTGCATTTTCTCTTTAATCTCTCTGCCTTGTAGCTGGGGGCTGTGGCTCCACAGGAGGAGCAGGACAAGGAGCCCTCGGGAGGTGCTGCTGTGGGCGGAGGGGTGCGGGCCAGGTTCCGCCCTGCCAGGCTCACCCAGCTTCAGCAGCCAGCCTTCTCGGTCCGGGTTGAAGAACGTGTGTGTCAGGTCATTCCCATCATCTTCCGGAATCTTAAACGGCTCATTCTTGATGCTTTCATACAAGTTCTGTAAGGGGAGAGCAGCCAGTCAGGGACTGCCGGGAAGCAGCCCTCCTCTCTCCCGCACAGCATGGCCATGCAGCCTGAGAGGCCGGGAGGCTGAGCAGATGCCTGGAAGATGCTCTTGAAATCAGTAAGCAGCATTATTGATTCCTATTAGACTAAGAGTATTTGAGGATTAACATAACTTGAGCGGCCTGGAAATGGCTTGGGAGAGGAAATGCTTGCCAGCAAGCATGCGGACCTGACTCTGGACGCCCAGCACCCACGTAAGAGAAGAACCGAGGTTTGGTAGGACATGTGTCATCTCTCAGGCAGACACAGGAGGACTCTTGGGACTTAGCGGCCACTGAAAGACCCTGTCTCCACACAACACCAGAACACCTGGAGGTGGCAGGCCAGCTCGGCAGGTTCAGGCACTTGGGCACCAAGCCTGGCAGCCCAGGCTCCACCCGCAGAGCTCACGTTCATCTGGTGGGAGAGGACAAGCCCGGCACAGGGTTCGCTGACCCCCACAGGCCGCCACCGCACATACCCCGTGTGCACACAGGGGTGACTGAGGGAGAAACCCAAGACTGAGCTCTACATACACGCGAGGAGGAAAACCCCCAAAAGATGTCAAGGAAAGAGACTATGGTTAGTCTCTACGGCTAGTCTTGGTTGTCAGCATGACACAATCTGGAATCTCCTGAGAAAGCCGTGGGGAGGCATTATAGCTAGACCAGGCTGGCCCGCGAGGAGGGAAGAGCTAGCCTCATAGTGGCTGCCACTGTTTCCTGGGCATGGGTCCTAGAGTGCATAAAAGACAATGTGAGCTGAGACCGGCTAACACGCATGTGCTCTTGACTGGACCTGAGCAGGGGCTTCAAGTGCCTGCCCTGACTTCCCCACAATGGCAGACCCTATGGAACCTAGCCAAACCCCTCCTCCCTTAAAGTTGCACTTGCTGGGGCGTTTTATCACAGCCGCAGAGATGAAAGCAGCACAGACAGGAGGCCGCCCATGGACTCACCCTCAGCAGTTCCTCAGGAAGGTCCCCGCCCTCGTTGATGCCGCGGTTCATGGTGATGAAGCGCTCTGCAGTGGGCTTGTCCCGCACATTGTGGTTGTGCAAGCTGGTGTTGAGCATGATGATGGCAAACGACAGTACGTAGCACGTATCTGCAACAAGCCACAAGATGGGGAGGCTTGGAGCTCGGCTCAGTTTTCCACATGGGGATGGGCCCAGAAGTGTTGCCTATCTGCCTTCCTGGCAGGGTGCTTGCCCGCTTTGAGGGGCGGCTCCCCACAGAGGCAGTGAGGGCGATGGGGAGCTTTGGTAGGAGCACCGCAACTCAGGGATGTGGCAGGCCACTGACCTGTGGACTGGAAGACACCAGGGTTGCACAGGCAGTATCGTGACGCGAAGGCCTCCATCATGCGGTCGATCTTCTGCGCCTCTCCAGGAAGCCTGAAGCTCCACAGGAACTGCCTGCGGACCCAGAGGATGCTTCCCTGAGCGGCCCTGGGAGGACAGCTCTGGCGTGGGCCCTACACCACAGGGAGACTGCCTGCTCAGTCCAAGTGCCATGAAGTCAGCTGGTCTCCTATCCGACAACTGAGGACTGCTAATGGCTGCTTTTGCGTAACTACAAACAATTCTTCATGAGCTGCTGCGGATGCCTTAAACCCCTCCAGGATCCCAGTATGTCTGCCCTCCTGTTATCTAGTACATGTACCAGCTGATCACAAGGGCATGCTCCACCCCCATAGCTGCCACAGCTCTGGCAGGACAAAGGCAAGGCCAGTTAGCAGTCAGTGCCCACCCGCATCTCCCAGGCCCCAGCCGGGTCGGCTGAGGTGTCACTCCGGAATCAAAGCCCAGAAGCACAGAGATGTTGCTGTCTTCCGAAGTCGCCCTGTGTGACACTGTGGCTTCTGCCCAATGTCCCCAACTCCTCTGCACTTGGCTTTCCTGGGCAGCAAGGCACCCACCAGCACTTCCCGCCTGTCTGCCTTAAGCACTGAGGGCAAGGTTAGATGGCTGGCCTGCTCCCTCGGGTCTCCCCGGCCAGTGAGGCTCACACCCAGTTGCTCGGGGACAGCCATGCCGCAATGGCTCAGTATGAAGATGAGAGCACAGGTCAGATCTACAGGCTGGAGAAAACCTTCTGCACTGCTTTCAGTCTTATGACATGGCTGCTACAGTGATACAAGAGAGAAAGACCTGTTCCCCTTGCCCTGGGCTCTCCCTCCTATGCAGGCTGGTGAAGTAGGGCTCTTTCCCCTGGGCCTGCCCCCACCCCAGGGGTATTCGTGCCATCATCAGCCCTCACTCTGCAGATCCTGGATCAAGAGCACCACACCCGGATGTCACACACCCACTTTCAAGACAGAGACGAGCCAGGTCCAGCTCTGACACGCCCTCTCCTCCACATGGCCACCAACGCACCACAGACCTCTCCCTGCGCCTCAGCAGCAGGCCAGCAGCACCCTGTCCTTAGGGCAGTTCTCCAGACTACAGGCAGCAGCGCCGACCTAAGGCCGCTCTCCCCATCCCGGTGCTCGCTCCATCCTCGTCAGTTCCACCCAACCGTGCCTTCCCTCCTCCCACTAATCTGAGGACCTCTTGGCCAGCCTCACACTTTATTCCCACAGCAAGCAGCTTCTCTCAGCAGTGACACAGGCATCAGCAATGCCTGTCATCCTCCTGCACCCACACTGGACTCTACATCATTCTGAGCAGCTTGAGTGGCAGCCAAAGAACACACCGTAGACACCAGAATAGCACCGAACATGAAGGGCCGCCCTCCTTCACTCCCATGCCATCTACAGTGACAGGGGCTCTCCTCAGACAAGACAGAAGGCACAGAATGACACCTGATGGTTCAAGCGACATCCTCCTTGGCACGCAAGCCCAGAAGCTTGGGGCCTGAGTGCAAATCTGTTGACAACAGTCCAAGGCATGGGAAGCAAGCACACATACCAGGTGTGATGGCTAACCTCCACTGTCAACCTGACTATGTACAGAATCACCATGGAGACACACCTGTGGGTCTGTCCTTGACAGTGTTTCCAGAAAGGTGTGAGGAAAGCCTGTCCTGAATGATGACGTCATCCCACGCACCGGAACTTCTCCCTACTACCTCCCACCTCCATGAAACCCGTGTGAGCAAGAAACCCATCTCTGTCCTCAGAACGCAAGGCTCTGTCTGGCTCTTCCAGGACCCCACCATGCTCTACATGGTGGTTCTGCCATTTCCAAGACATGTTACAGCTGGGAGCTGGGAGCTCTAATAAAGCTCTATGGAGAGCAGCGAGCTCAGCTTCCTTTCTGCAAAACCATCTCCATCTTTTACTGTCTATACTTATACCTTAGGCAGCAGTGCTATGCCCTCCCCATCATGACAAACTGGGAGCCAAAATAAAGCCTTCTTTAAGGCCTTCTTCCCGGGACATTGGCTGTGGCAACACAATGGTAACAACAAGTACAGGGGGTCAGAGCAAGTCTGGCCTCTGCCTCTGACTGCTGAGTGTCGCCCAGAGGGAGAGGCTGAGCCGCCAGAACTGCAGGGTTCCTGGGGGTCCACCAGAGTCACATGCAGTGACTCAGTGGCTGCGGCATCTGTCTACGCGTGCAGTGAGGCACACGCTCACCTTAAAGCCTGGACAAGGTTGAGATCAGCAAACTCATGCAGCTCAACAAAAGCCTGAAGAACTTTGATATTAAAGTCATCCCTAGGAAAGAACAGAAACAAGGCAAACACGTTACATCTGAGATACTTGGAGCTAAGGCTTACTCCACAATGGGCCTTGGCAGATAACGTTAGCTCACTACAAGCAACCATGCTCTTCACTGTAAATTCTGTTTTCAGAATTTTTATTTGTGTTGTTTTTTGAGACAGAGCCTCACTAGGCTGCAGAAGGCCTGAAACTCAGGATCCTCCTCCCCCCACCTCCCAAGTGAGGGGATTACAGGCATGCACCCATGCTCCCAGTTGCCAGGCTCGATGCAAAGGAGAGCTGAGAGGCTGTCTCGAGAGTGTTTCCACCATTAAACCCTCAGTACATCTTCAGGCCAATGCCAAGCACTCAATGACAAGTTCACCCGGGGTTCTCTATACATTCTGGAGCCTTCAAAATGGCCCTGAGCGGGGCCCTGTCATGGTCTCTGCTTCATACATGGGAATTGGGGTGTAAGAAAAGGCAAAGCAAACTCTCAGGCCATAAACCTAAGATGCACTAGACCCAGGAAAGTCTGGGGGAAAAAACCAATACATCACATTTGGGATTTTTGATTCCTTTTGTTTTTGGAGGATGGTGAAATCAGGTCTCATTCTGTAGCTTTGACCGGCATGGAACTATAACCTAGGGAATTCATTTGAATCTTCCTGCCTCAGCCTCACAAGTGCTTGGATATTGGGCACAAACCATAAGCCAAATCACACAGGTTTTTTTAAAGTGAAACATGAAAATACAATAAGGCAATTCTTTAAACAGCAATAAAAAAAAATGATGTGTCAGTGTGTCTCACTGGATTTTAGCTCAAGTCCTGCCATAAGCCTGCTGACCACATGTTCTGTGGGCATCGCTGAAGCACAAGGCCTGGGTTTGTCTACCCTGTCACAGGACGCCTATAACCTCACAGGATACACCTGGCATCCGCCATCCTTGGAGAACAGACAAAGCCTGGCATAAAAACCACAGTCTGTGCCACACAAACACCAGACACATTGTAAGCTTAAGCTGTGGCCATAGTTTAGTATTGTCTGCCCACAGGACCCCTGCGCAATGGAGGTTTCAAGTTAAAAGAAAGGAGCTGGGAAACAGCACTCTGGCTGGGAAGATGTGGCATGGTTCTCTCTAGGGCCCTTGGTGCTTCCTTAGCCTGTGTCCCCAGAAGAGGGCACGATGAGACCTTCCTAGGAGGCACACTGTCCCTGAAGACAAGATGGGTGTCTTGAGTCTCTGATCCCGCAACACCACACTTGTCAGATGAGCCACTAAACTGGCCAAGTGGCTCAGCAGCAGACACACGGGGCCCGCTGCTGCTCAGTGTGGAGGAACACAGTGGCACCAGGTTAGGGCCACAGCTAAGGACAAGACCTGTGACCACAGTAGCTTATCAGAACCTCTACGAGCGGTGCACCCAGAAGCTGTGTCAAAGGCAGACTCCCACCTCTACAGCATTTAGGGTTTGGGATTGGGGCTGGTCAACCTGCCTCCCTCTTTGAGGGAACTGTCTCGTTCTCTCCTTTTCCTTTGTCTCTGTCTATCTCCTCTCCCACCTTTTATCTCCCTGGTTTTTTGAGATAGGGTTTCTCTTGTACACCAGGTTGGCCTCAAACTCAGAGATCCACCTGCCTCTGCTCTTCCGAGTGCTGGGATTAAATGTTCGCCACTACCTCTGGCTTTTTCTTTTCTTCTCTTTTCTTCCCTCTCTCTTAATAGTATTCTCTGAAGCGAACAATAATAATTTGGGCCTGATGAACTGACTCAGCAAGTAAAGAACTTGAGGCAAAGCTTGACAATCTGAGTTTGACCCCAGAGCCCATGTGAAACAGGAGCAGCCCCCACAGGCTGTCCTCTCATCTGCCAAAGGCCACAGCACCCTATCGCCCACACACACATAAATAAATGTTTCATTTAAAATTTCTTTTGTGATGTTCAGTTCACCTCATCTTCTTCAACTGTTGGGCTTTGGCCACTGACTCCTGCAATTACAGGACCATGATGCTTTGCCCCTGGCTCTTTCTAAGCACTCAGTGGCTTCACATAAGTGTCCTGGACCCCTACTAAACCCTTGTGTATAGTGAGGGGCTAAGAGGAACCTCAATTTAAGAACTTTATCAATCAGGCTAGTTTGTAGCCAGGTCTGTGAGAGATTGTCTTGGTTGATGACTATTCCCTGTGGGCAGTACTGTCCCTAGGCAAGAGGACCTGGGCTACAAAAGAAAGCTAGCCAAGCAAGAGCCAGTGGGCAAGCCAGTAAAAAGAATGCTGCTCTCACTTGAGTTCCTGCTCTAGATTCCCTGAGCTATACGTCTATATAAATACGCCAAATAAATCCTTTCCTGCCCAAGTTGCTTTTGGTCTGAGAATCTTATCACAGCAACAGAATGAAATTAGAACAGCACGTGTGTGTAGGTGCGGTGTGTACACATGCTTGCTTGCAAGTACATTGGCAGGCAGGTGTGTTTAGTTACACATGTGTGGAGGCCGGAGGCTGATGCCAGATGTCCTCCTCAACCACTTTCAACTTTACTTCTGAGGCAGGGTCCCTCATGCATTCAGCTACAGCAGCAAGCCAGATTTCACCGGGTCCCTCCCCAACCCCATCTCTGTCTGGAGTGCTGGGACTACAGGTGGCCACACAGCGGCTTGGTTTTCAGAAGGGTTTTCTATACACATGGATCATATCTGCAAACTGCTCTACCTCGCCAGCATGGACATCTTAGTTTTTCATTTTGCGGCCTATGTGACCCGTCCAGTGCCATGCTGAGGAGCAGTAATGCAATCACACTGTCTTGCTCTTTGCAGTTCAGTCTTTCACCATTAGGTCTGGCATGAGCTGTGGGCTTTTCACGGGAGGCTTCTGTCATGTTGAGGGGAGATCCCTTCTAGTCCTAATATTCTGCTGAGGGTTTTTGTCATGAAACAGTGTTGAGCTCTGCCAAACGCTTTGCCACCTTTACTGCGATGTTCCTATGAGTTTGGCTGTGCTCTATAGATGTATTACTATAGTGTTTTTTTCAAAACAGGTCTCAGCCAGCCTGGGCTAGCCAAGGACTCAGGCTATAGCTGAAGATGACCTTGACCTCCAGAATTCTGGGAGTAAAGGTATGTGCCACCATGACCAGCTCATGCATGTGTGCGTGAGCGTGCGCATGTGTGTGCGGGCTCATGTGTGTTGCTCAGGGCTGAACACAGGGCCTCATGCATGCTAAGCAAGCATTCTACCACTAAGCATCACTAAAGCTCTTTAACTGACGTGTAAACTGCACTAACCGTCCTGGGCTAGAGATGCCAGCAGTGAACAAATGAATGACTGACGGACAAAAGTAAATGGTCATTAGAGACCGTGAGGGCACATGTGAGTCCACTTGGTATAATATTCATATGCTGCCGTGTCTCGTTTGTTAATCTGCTAAACAAAAATCGTTTCTATGCTCCTAAGATGCTGGACTATGGCTTTCTTTGTTGATGGATCTGGTTTTGGTGTCAGGTAGTACTAACCTCCCTGAACAAGCTGGGGAACACTCCACTTTAGATGAAGCGCTTTAAATAAAAAGCTAGGAACAGAACTGCGTGAGTGAGCAGTGCTGGGCTTTAAACAGCTCCCTTCTTGCCTAGCCTCAGCCAAGCACAGCAGATGGCCCTTCAGGAAATGCTGGAACAGCCCTGTAATCCCAGCCCTTAGAGGAAGAAGGAAGACCACTGTAAGTGTGAGGCCAGCCTAGGCTACACAACAAGATCAGATCTCAAAACCCGCAAAGACAAGCAAAGCAAAACCCAGCAGACGGACAGGGAAGAAACCCCTGGCAAGTCTGGGCATTTATAGGAGGGGATGAGCCTGGTGACTGAGAGGAGGACTCCCATGGGCCACAGAGCCAACCTGAGCCTCAGGCACCTGCTCCCTCTTCTGTTGTGTGTGCTTCTGCTGTATAGCTAAGAAGCCACGTGTAAGTCCCGACCACGTGGGCTCACCCCACCTTTCCTCCCTGGTACTTAAGTCTCAATTCTTCGCTTTAGGTCTTTGGTCCACTTTAACCTTTGGTGTGGTAAGATCCCAAATGCCCGGGTGTCCCAATACCCTGTCCTCACTTGGAGACCAGTCGCCTCTGTCCCTATAGCTCAAAGGCTGTGAGAGGCCCCTCTGCTTACCTCTCACCCAGGTAGTCTCCAATGACGGTCTTGTTCAGGCCTTCTCCTTTGTACAGGAACTGGGCGACATCCTCTGCGGAGCTCTGCAGCAGGTCATTCTCAATTAGGAACTGAATGCCCTGAGGAGCAGGGCGAGATGGAACATGCAGGTCAGCAGGGCAGCTCACGGCCCATTTTCAAAGTTGGAAACACGCTTTGTGCAGTAACCTGGACTCGGTGAAAATGCCAGAGACCTATGGGGCCCGCATGCTCTCCGAATCACCACAGTGTGTTTAGTCCATTCAAGAGTGAGCCACTGTGTTTGTCAGGCATTACACAAGCAGTAAAAACCCATCATCAGATTTTGTTTTGCTTTTTTGAGACGGTCTCTCTCTCTAGCCTTGGCTGTCCTGGACTTGTTCTGTAGACCAGTCTGGCCTTGAACTCATACAGATCCACCTGCCTCTTCTTCTCCAAGTGCTGGGACAGGCATGTACCACCGTGCCCGGCTACCACCATCAGGTTTTTAACACTTAGGGAAACAGCTTTTTCCTGCCTCACAGAACCTGACTGTGGTGAGAGATGCTGCAGGTTGAGCAACCAACACCTGACCCCAACCACCAACCTTTTTCAAATTTTTTATTTCTATTTCATGTGTGTGACTGTTTCACCTACATGTATGTTTGTATCCTACATGCATGCCTAGCACCTGCAGAGGCCAGAAGACGGAGTCAGATCCCCTGGGACAGGAGTTATAGATGTTGTGAGCACCATGTGGGTGCTGGGCATTGACCTCAGTCCTCAGGCAGAGCAGCTGAGCCAGCTCCCCGGCAGCCTTGGCCCACCTTTTCAAAAAGAAATAATTTTTAACTTACTAAAAATCTAAATTACATTTATTTACGTGGGTGAGCTTAGGTGCCGGCCATGGTCAGAGGACAACTTGACATGAATTGGGTCTCTCCTTCCAGCACAGGGTCCTGGGAATGGAACGTCCACCAAGTCTTCAAGCTTGGTGGTACCTTTACCTAATGATCCAGCCCTCCTTACTCATTGCGACTGTGTGTGTCATGTGTATGCCTGCCCTACAGTGCATGTGTGGAGGTCAGGGAGCAGCCTTCAGGCTCAGCCCTCTCCTTCTACCTGAGCACTAGGAACTGAACTCAGGTCATCAGGCTTGTGTGGGAAGAGCTTTTTTCTCATCTTGCCACCTGGCCCAGCCCAACCCTTCTATTCGGCCATCTTACCCCAAATAATTGCTTTATAGGCCCCTTTATATACAAGTGACCTTGTGACCCAGATCTGGGCAAGCCAACATAAATGGAAACCTAGAGATGTCTCCCAATGTCTTTTCTCTTCTTCCTACTTTGAGCTCCATGCAATGACCAGAAACCCAGCTTCCCTCATGTGAGGGAAAGACTGAGCATCTTGCTCCTGTCACTTAGAAGCCTCCAATTGCCACAGCAACTATATGAGAAAATAAAAATCCACTGTATAACCAATTTGGAAGGGAGGGGCTGGATTTTCTGTTACCTGTTACACTACCATTGAGCTTACACCAGCCAAACACATGCCTACTTGAAGAACCTGCAAAAAGTGTAGCTGGCAGTTTCGAGAGACAAGGACTGTCCCAGGCTTAAATCAGCTGCACTGCAGTACCTCTCAGAACTCCCAGGACCCCCCACAATAGCAAAAGCACCTCTTGCACAAGTTGAGAGCTGGTTTCAAGCTACCTTATACCAGGCTAGCGAGAACACAGGGAATTCTGATATCTATGTGCTAAGAGGTGTTTCTACAAACTCAGAGAGGCTTTTCCAGCTCAAACTCCCAGGCCTAAGCCTGCTTTGGCTTCCTCACACCCACAATCCATCTGGCAGCCTTATTTAGCATTTCCAAAAACTTCAGACAGCAACAGACAACCAGTAAGAGAAAAGATAAAGATAGAAGATGGAAGATTGTGGCTAGATTAAAAGAACAAAATGAACGAGAGGCTCCCAGACCTGGCACGAAGCAAGAGACAACACAAGAGAGTGTAAATAGATGCAGCTATTGTGTATGTGGTGCACACATGTGGACGTGCACAAGCAAGTTCTCCTGTGTGGGGGCCTGAGTTGATGCCAGGCCTTCCTTGATGGTGCTCCATGTTTAACTGATTGAGGCAGGGTCTCCCTGGGACCTAGAGCTACCAATCCCAGCTTTCCGGCCTCTGCCTCCTGCACGCAGGGAGCACAGGCGGACACTGCACCTGCTCAGGTTTCACGCAGGTTTGGAGCACCACTCCCTGGTCCTCAAGCTTGCCCAGAAAGTGTTGCATCCACTGAAGCCTCTCCCCAGACCCAGGCAGGTATATTTTCATTCTGCTTATGCAAGATTTAAAAAAAGCAAACCTAATTTTGGTGCTAGTGTGGGATACCTGGGGAATGGATTTGCGAAACAGTGGCCCCAGAAAGGTGGCCTACAATATTCCGCACGCACATTCTGTTCTGGGTTGAGAGTTTTGTTTCTTAATTTGTCAAGATGCTCGAAGACTAAAATTTGTGTGCCACGTAGTGTCATTTAAGTCTGACAGTCACACGTTAACTCCTGTGGTTTCTGGTAGGAGCATGAATGTGCACATCTATCTGGGTGTGACTGTGAAGCCACACACACTCTGCACACCCCATCACTAACCATCCAGATGAGGAGAATTAGGCATAAGTATGGATGGTGAGCCAGAAGCCAGCAGGAGAACACAGTACAAGGATAGCTCCCTTGGGGTCAGCAAGGGAAGGGCAATAATTATAAGGCTAGGCAGAACTTTACTGTCCGATACCCCAAGGTCAAAAATCAATCACTCCCTGGCTAGCGTTATTAGGATTCATAAGACTAACAGTGAGTGTAAACTGTAGGTTGCTACTCTGAAGTCTGCTAAGAGCAGGGAAAAGGGCACCTGAAAGTACCCAGGGTTCTGGAACAAAGGGCTCAAGGAAGCAGAGACAGAAATGGGTCTGGTCCAGGCCTGGTTGCTGGAGACTATCTTGACTGAGACTACAATGCCCCAGAGGTTGAGTTTGTAGCCATTCCCCCTTAAGAGCTCAATGACCCCTAGCACACAGTCCCAGTGCCCTTAAGAGGTTCTTGCATCTTTGCCATCCGGCCTTTTCTCCCCTTCTACTGTTCTGGAGCTTCAGGGTCTGTGGTCTCAAAGCTGAGTGCCAGACCCTGGGACCCCAGGCCTGTGCCAGGTCACAGTGAGAATGTGGAACACACTAGATGGTCAGGACCTGCCCTGGGCCTTGGCCCCCTCTCCCAAAGACCTAGGAAATGGCTGATCTCAACTGCCAACTTGAGAGCACTCAGAAACCCTAGGAGGAGAGCTTGCCTGAGAGGGAGTGTCACAAGACTTTTAACTGATGTGGGAAGTCCCAGCTCAGTGCTGGTGGCACCCCTGCCCTGGCTGCGTGCCTGCACTGAGTCAAAAGGAGAGGGCAAGCTGAGCCCCAGTGTCCCTGTACGCTGTGTGACTGCAGATGTGGTGTGAGCAGCACCTCAAGCTTCGCCACCACCATGGACTGCACCCCTTGACTTGTGAGCCTGTATACATTTTTCCTTCCTCAGGCAGATTTGATCAGGCATTTTTGTCATGGTGGTGAGAAAAGTAACCAACACAACTGTTCTGGAAGAAGTAAGAAAGTCAAACGGGGGGACTGGAGAGATGGCTCAGAGGCCATGGTGGCTCACACCATCTATGAGATCTGGCGTCTTCTTCTGGCCTGTGGGTGTACATGCAGACAGAACACTGTATACACAATAAATACATCTTTAAAAAAAGTCAAATGGTCAGAACAAGGTCATTTCTTCCTTATGAGTCGCAGGAGGGACACATGCGGGGTCCAGCAAAGAAGAGTTCCCTCTGCAAGAGATACAAACAAGGGAACCCCTTGTTCCCTGACCATGGGAACAAGGGGCCACTGCTGTGATCAGGCCAGAGAACCTGTGATGGCTAATGTGGTCAACCTGAGCGGACTGGGAGACACCTCCATCAGAGGACACCTCTTAGTGTGTCTGTGTGTTTCCAGACATGATTAGATTGGACTAGCTTAGAGTTTGAGTGTTCTGGCCTCGTTGATGTTAAGATTCTTTACGGTAGGTTGAACACAGCAGTGGAAGACAGGGTCTGGTTAGAGGAAGTGGGCTGATGGAGCCTGTTGTTGAAGGGTCTATCCGCCCTTCCCTGCTGCTGTTCTCTGCTTCCTGTCTACATGAGCAAACAGCCTCTGCCACACCCTCTACCATATAATGTTCTGCCCCACCTCAGGCCCCAAGTGACGCGTCCAGATGGCCATGACTGAAAACTCTAAGACCATGACCCAAACTAATCTTTCTTCCTTTCAACTCCGTAAGTGATCTGTCAGAGTGATGAGAGTCTAATATGGATCGTAAGCAGATGTAGAGTCAAAAGCCAGGGACCATGCAAGTAGTTTCAAGTAAGAAAGGGCTGCATCAGGTGTGAGGCGCGGCAAGCAGGGTCAACAGGAGCAGGCCAGCTTTGAGCTCAGTGACCTGTGTCCTCAAAGAGCAGCTAAAGCAGGTGTGTGGTGGCGCACACCTGCGGCTTCAGCACTTCAGGGGCAGGACTATCTCAAGTTCTAGAGCAGCCTGGACTACAGGGCGAGAGGGCAAGGGGCACAGCAGAGAAGGCACAAGACACTAGAGGGTATGGTCACAGCTAAGATCACCTGTTGTCAATCACCTGAGCTAGGGAGAGGCCCGGACAGACTCTGCGTCCAAGTGTGAAGGGTACTCTGCCTGTACCTTCAGCTTGGACTCCTTGTCTTCTGTAGGAAGGTATAGTTCTGTGTCTTAAGTCATGTGTGTGGTAAGTGCTGGGATAAAGGCCTGTGTCACCACACCCAGAATAGAAATCCAGCCCTTTCGCCCAGTGCCTCCCCCTGTCCCTTCATTCCAGTCTTCCCCGAAGGGCATCTTAACCGAGAGACAGCCGGAGTTTGTTTTCATGAGCATAGGTGCCTTGCCGCCGTGCATGTCTGTGCACCACGCGCATGCAGGGCTTGCAGAGGCCAGGAAAGGGATTCCAGGTCTCTGCAGCTGGAGCCATGATGCATGTGGGCAGTCGCCTGGCTGCTGGGGCTCCAGTCTGCCAGTGTTCCTACCTACTGAACCATCTTCTCCATGTTTATGGTAAGAAATGACCTCTTTGAACTTGCTCCTCGCATCTCTTATCCGGTGGGCTTTGGGGAGGGTCTTTCTGAAGGAGGATTTGTGAAAAGGTCCCATTGTGCAGCCCAGGGCACCTCAGCTGTCATACAGTGCTTTCCTAATTCTACCTTTCCCACTAGTTTATAATCCTTATTCCATCCCTGGTTTTAATGGCAACCCAAACTCGACATGTTAACTTGTATGTATCTAGCAATACCTCAGCTGTCTTTATTTTTCTCCTTTTTCTTCTTTCTTATAAAATAGACCAAGATAAAACTTTTTTTCACATAATCTTCTTCTTTTAGACTTAGGTTTGCTGGCCCCTCCTCCCCACCACACCTGGCTCTGTGTACCTTCTGAGCCCTATGGGTGTGTTTCTTGGTTTTTAGGTATATTTACTCGGCTTCTCAATGAATAACCAGATGAGGTCTTAGTGACTAACTTTTTGAGTCCCCACATATCTAAAAATGTCACTTTTTTTTTTTTTTTTCACTAGGGACAGTCTGGACAGAGTTCTCAGTTTTAAATCATTTCCCTGCTTAAACCTTAGAAGATACTGTTTCGCTGCTGTGCCTGACACAGCAGTCTCTGGTAATACAGCTCCAGACTTCCTTGATCTAATCAATCCTTTCCTGACTTATTTATAAACCCCAGTGCTCCTTCTAGACTCCAGCCCACTGAACAAAACCAAAGCCCCTTGCTTCAAGTGTCCCCACTCAGAGACGAACAGTCCCTGCTAGCCTGACACTAATCACGCTGATGATTTGGTGCACTAAGACAATGGACTGAACAGGACTCTGAGCTGAAAGGGAGAGTGCTGGTGTGTCTATGGGCTAAATGTGTGCGCGTCTCTCAGAACTCACACGCTGAGGCCCAAATCTGCAACAGTCTGGTAGAGCCTGTGAGGATAACCACGGTGACATAAGCTCATCTGGGCAAGGCCCTAGGGTCGGCTTGTGTAGCCTCATGCAAAGAGAAACTAACCTCAGCTTGCTCCACACCCAGGTTCAGAAAGAGGCTGCTATCTGCACTGAGAAAAGAGCCTCACCAGAACACAGCCTCCTGAGCAAGCATGAGCTCAGACCTGTAGGCCTGGAATTGTGACAAGTAAGGGTCTGTGGCCTCAGCCTTCCAGTCTGGGTTCTTTCCTTCTATGCAACCCAGGCTGGCCTCTAGCTGGCTTTGTAGGTCAAGACAATGTTGAGCTTCTGATCCTCTTGCCCTCCTGTTTCCACCTTCCAGTGCTGGGGTTACAGTGTGCACCACCTGGCCTGGTTTTCAGTCTGTGTTATTTTTTTACAACAGCTCAAGCTGACTAATGCAAGTCTACAATACCAAATGATTTTGGTAATTTTTTCCCCCAGTAAAAAGCTATATGCAGACTAAATGAGCTCTTTTGTTGAGCAACTTAATTATAAATAGTTAAATAGAATCAGTAATTAGTGTAAAACACATAAAAATACTTTTCAGGTAAAAAGGAACACAAAGTGAAGCCTATGAAGCAATTCGCCACAGCCTAAGCCCTGCTTCCCTTGGATGACATGGGCAGACACCACAGGGCCAGCTGGGGTCCCTGAACCTGGGGCTCCCTACAGTGAGCCCAGGGGCTCCCACTGATTACACCTGTACTCAGAGCCTCACACTGTGAGAACGGCCGTTAGGCCCCGTTCACAATTCATCCCAATAACCTGCTTCACCCCGCTTGTCACACAATGAAACAACAACTCCATATTTTCATGAGGTAACATTTTCACCTTGGTCCAAAGAGAGTCAGTCACTAAAACCAGTCAGTCGTTTGCATGTTGGAAGGCCAGAACTATTCTCTCACCTTTTTGGGGTCCATGTTGAATTTCTTTCTTCCCATGGCTATTTGCTTGTTCCTCTGAGTAGTTTTGCTATTGGTTTTAAACAATTTTAAAAATCGTTAGTGATTACTTCATGGAGTGCAGCAGAGTCACAGCCTCCTGTGCCTTCTCCAGCTCAGGTCAACCTGCGACACTAAACAGTGGTGTCCAGCAGAGCCCACCACCATCCACAGACGAGGCTGCTGTCGCAGCAGCTTTTCACACAATTCTTCCAGAAAGGCTAATGGTGAAGAGCAGCGCCTTTCTGAAAGAACTTAAAACTGCTGTTCCTGTGATACAGAAAGGTTACAGCATCCCCATGTTATTCCCAGACCTGCAAAGTTGTTAAGGACACAGGAGGCAGAAGGAGGAATGGGCGATTCCAAAGGGCCCCCACTTCCCAACCCAGGGCTTGAAGTTTGGTGAGCCCAGTTAGAGGAAGGTGGCAGGAATAAAGAGGGTGAGTCATAAACGCTTTACCTCTCCTCCACTGAGGTCAGGTTATCTATCTCTGTCATCACTTCTGCAATTTCATATTTCAGCCTCTGTCAGAAAAGAAGGAACTAGGTCATCTATCTTAACTGTCCTGTACGAATAGGCTTGGAGACACACCCTGGTCTTCCATTTTCTCAGATGAGCATCACAAGGCCAAAACCCAACACCTGTATCAATAAGGTACACTCAAAGTCAGAGGCAGCACAGCACAGCAAACACACACACATGCACATGCGCTCACACACGCACACACACACACACACACACACACACACACACACACGCGCATGCAATGTTCACCTCCTGTCAGACACATCGCAGGGGTCTTAAGTGCTTATGTGAAAAATCAAGAAGAAAGCAAAACATATAAAAGCAGGTAAAGGCAAGCAGTGGGTCCTTAGCTCGCCTCACTGTAGTCTTGACATATAACATGGGTAGCCTGCATTCTGAGGGGAAGGGGAGACCCAGATATGTCTAGGTAGACCTCAGGTTTGCCAATCAATCTCATGACTTCCCTTCTTAAGAGAAGAAACCTTACGGGGCTAGAGAAATGGTTCAGAAGCTAAGAGCACATGCTATTCTCTACAGACAACCTAAGCTCAAAAACAAAACAAAACAAAACAAAAAACCACCACCACCACCAACAACAACAACAAAAAAACAGGTGGCTCCCAACTGCCTCAGTCCAGCTCTGGGGGCTCCCACTCCCCTGCCTCTATGGGCACCTGCACACACAGACACAGAATTTAAAATACTATAAACGTTTAAAGTGATAATTTGCTATGATTCTTTAAAGTAAGAGCTATGAAGCCCCAAGGACAAGGTCCAACTCAGAGCTATCAGAAACAGAGGGCACAGAAATGGTCGAATCCCCACGAGCTGGCTTCCCCTCAGTAGCTTGCCAGCCTCTCTGAGCCTCAGTCAGCACCCTTAGAACAGGATGAAGTAGGCCGAGTGCACGGAGGAGTCCGTACTACTGAGTGGTGTGATCCGAAGCTACTGTCCACACTTACTATCCATTCTTATTCTTTAGATAAAGGACTGCTCTGGTTTGCACAAGTTTCTGAGAATGCAGGCTAACCTTACAGCCAAACCGCCACCAATTACCCCTCAAACACAAAGACATTTTATTCAGAGCCCTATTATGTGTGTGCCAACAAGTTCACTCAACAAGTTCCTAGAAAGGAGTCATTGTCTAGGACAAGGCCTGTGAGGGGACATTTACTTTGGCATCGACAATGACAAGGAAGCACCTCCCAGAGCCACAGCACTGACTTTCCTCAGGAAGGTCCACACCAAGGGACCAGGGAGGCCTCTGAATGGCATCTGAAACATCGGATACCCCCGTGCTCTGAAACTGTGGCTTCATTCATTTACTCTCCTGTGGTCTCCAAGTACACAGATGTGGGAAGACAGCGTTCATCTATCTGTTTTATTCATTTTTGTTTAAATTTGTCATGCTGCTCTTGCCACCAAGTAGGTACTTGGTATGCAGTTGGAATCCAATATATGTCTGTTCATTCAAAGAATACAAACTGCCGAAAGTGTGGCAGACGATCTACATGCTTGGGATAATATACACGGAGAAGGGCAGTGTGTATCAGGCTGCGGCCACTGTTTACATCAACACTTGTAACTCTGTGGCCACAGTTAACTAACTACTGAGAGGGCTAGTCCCACCAAGGTCTCTACTCCTGAGCTTGTGCTGTCTCGGATGACCGTCTGCCTCAGCAGCCTGGAGAAGCCATCGCTCTGTCTCTGTGGTCCTCACACACATCCTGAAGACGCATCCCCACATTTCTTGCAGCTACCCCACTCAGTATCCTACACGTCCACGCCCCAGATGCTCTGCTCTTGTTTACCTCAATGTCATCAATAAGCTCCTTCTTCCTTCGGCGAATGTCCAAGAGTTCTTCTCGCTCTTCTAATGACAGGTCTTCAGGCACTAAGGAGGAGAGAGAAGAAAGAAAGGTCAACAACTTCAGGGGCTGGTAAGGCTGGAGACTGGAGGTGGGAAGTCGGGTGGGGAGGCCCCTGACCCTCCTCCGACCCACCCTACAGAGGCTTCGAGGGAGGAAAACAGAAGCTAAAGGACACAAACCACATGTGTGCACATCTTACCCCGCCAGAAGCCTGCCCCCGAGGCTTATCACAGGCCTTCCCCAGCCACAGAGCCCTGATGAGAGGTTAATATGGCTGGTGCTTCTCTGCACCCTCTCACAGGTTGCAGCTACACACGCAGACATGGAAGGCAGCCAGCACAGCCCCTGGTGCCCCGCAGGGAACAGTGGGCAAGGCCATCCCGCAGTACTTAGCTCTCCACTGCTTCTTAGCCTTGCACTCCTGAAGCGCTGTGTCTGTACCACATACAACATGCACTGAACCCAGCACACAAAGCTAAGATCAAAGTGGTCATGCTCTGGGGAGAAGTGAGAAGTGCAGTGGGAAGGCAGCTCGGAGCTGGCCTCCCACGCTCAAGCTCCACGACAGCCTTGTAGAACTAGGGGCTTTCTTTCACATCTCTAACTGACAATATAAAGATGCAGGCCAATCTCACTAGACTGGCTACCATGGGAGTGGGAGCAGGACGTGAGGAGCACAGTTGAGCAGACTTTGGGAAGCACTCAGGTAGCTGCATCCAGACAGCACCAAGGCTGTGTATGTTATGCCCAGCTGCGCTCCTTTAAGTGTACACAGTAGAGAATGCTCCAGCAGGGCAACAGGAAGTTCAATAATGCTGGAGAAGCATATCTCAGAGTGCAAACAAAGACGTTAAATGCCTGTCCACAGTAGGATGGGTAAATGTGCTGGACTCTCAGAGAGAAGCAACAATCAGGTGATTTCGGGACACCAGTGTAGACATTAGACACATTCTCTTAGGAACTTCAAAAACAAAACATTAAGTAGCATATTGCTTAGATATTATATAAGTCTTAGTTTTGTTCCCCTTTGCCTGATAAAACACCCTGAAAAAAGCATATTAGGGGGCTAGAGCCGTGGCACACTCCTGTAATCCCAGCACTCAGTGAGGCAGAGGCAGGTGGATCTCTGTGAGTTCAAGGACAGCCTTGTCTACAAGAGTGAGTCCAGGACAGTCAAGACGACAAAGAGGAACCCTGTCTTGAATAAATCAAAAACTAGAAGCATATTAAGGGAAAAAGGGTGTAGTTGGCTTACAATTCCAACCCACTGTGGGATGCCATGAGTGTTTGGACACAGTCAAGAGCAGAGAGCAATGAACTTGTAGGACTGTGCTAGTCCACAGACTTGCTCTCTCACTCGCCAGGACCCAGCCCAGCACAAAATGGTGCTGCCCACCTTCAGAGCAGGTCGCTCCCGCCTCAACCCAATAAAGAAACTCCCTCACGGCCATGAACCACAGATGGATCTAATCTAGAGAACTCCTCACCAGAGACTTCTTTTCCAGGTCATTCTATATTATGTCAAGTTGACAACTAAAACTAACACCGTGGCTGAAGAGATGGCTCTGAGGTTAAGAGCACCAGCTGTTTTTTCCAGAGGACCCAGACCCAATTCCCAGCACCCACATGGCAGCTCACAATTGTAGCTCCAGCTCCAGAGTATCCAATACCCTCACACACACATACAATCAGGAAAAACACCAATTCACATAAAATAAATAATTAATTAAAAAAGAAAAATGTAACCACCACAGGCATATCAATACCTGTCATAAAATAATTAGAGTAAAAAATACAGAATTCATAATAAGCATGACTTCTATGGAGGGAAGGAAGAACATGGAGAAGGGTGGAAAGCAGAGACTGTGTCATATTGTTAATTTCTTTCCTCCTCCACCAGCTAGTCTACACTGAAACTAAATGACGTCTTAGCAATATTCTTATGCAATCTTCTATGCCAGGATACTACCAAGGAAAGAGCTATTGCTCTCCAGATAAGACAGGGCTATAAAACAACTGAGCTCTTCAAAACACCACAGAGACAGCCATTATAGTATTTCTACTTTTTAATGGAGGCCAAGAGAGACTGCAGAAGAGATAATGAAGACATAATGGGGCTGGAAAGATGGCTTAGCAGTTGAAAGCACTTGCTGCTCTATCAGAGGCTCCGAGTTTGATCCCAGCACCCACATCAGGCATTTCACAAGCATTTGTGACTCTGAATCCAGGGCTTCAGATGTCTCTTCTGAAATCACTGAATGAACAGATTCACTCAGATTCACACACACATACGTATACACACCAAGAAAGAAAGAAACAAACAAAGAAGGAAAGAAAGACTCTTTTTAAAAAGAAATAATGGTCTGCAATACCATATATCTGGTAAACAAGAACAGCACAATCCCAGATTCTCAGCACGTGCCAGCCATGGCACACTCATGTTTACAAGCTGTGCAGCATGCAGCGAGCAAGAGCTCCACAAGGTCCCTGGGCCCAGTGACTTCCGTCTACCTTGCAAAGTGGCAGCTTCGTCATGAAACTGACTTCTGCCCTGCTAGACAGTACCCGGGCGCTAAGGCCACATGCTTTCTCACCGCAGGGCTCCTCAAGCTTCTTCCCAGATCCTCTCCCTAATTCTCACTGGCCCAACCTGTCTCAGGTCTCAGTTTATACCGATTAGCAAAAGTAGGAGACATGCCCCCCCCCAAATATTCAAAGAGAAGACATACAAGGGCCAAGAATTTACACTGCAGAACATCAGCAACGCCCAATACCCAGAAAGATGAAGCCTAAACCAGCATACACTTTTAGTCTCTTACCACAAGCATCCACATGTCAATTTAGCCAGCCTCCAGAGTGGTATTAGCCCAATATAGTCAACTACACAGATCAGCCTCCTGATCAACCCCTAAGGAAGCCTCTTCTGCTGACCTCTCTGACACATGAGTCTGAAGGAGAAAGCTGTAGACTTCAACCTCCTGCAGACAGGTTGTCTAAGAAAGTCTACCAACAGTCTTCCTCCTCCCACCTGAAGACCAGAGGGCTACTAAGAGTGAACAAAGATGAATGGAAACTCCAGGATAACTTCATTCTAAAGCTGCCAATGCACCTCCATCGGAACCTTTCCATGGACTGCCTGGCTTTTCTCTCCTACCATGCCCGTCAGATCCTTTAAAGGCAACGAGGAACAATACAGTGCTGTTCATCCATGTTACCAAGAATTCCAACCATAAGCCGCTTGTCTAAGAGAAGAGCTGGCAAGTGGCCCGGCCAGTAAGGTTCCTGCCAAACCCAACCTGAGCTTGAGCCCCAGGACCCACATGGTGATAGGAGACCTGACTCCCATATGTGCTCCACAGGGTGCATGTATGTGCACACGCACACACGCACGCACGCACACACGCGCATACACACACACACACACACACATTTTTAAAAAAAAAATAAGTTTTTTTTTTCAGGTAGAATAATGGTGTTGAAGTTATTATAGGAAATATCCTTATTTTCTAGAGATTCATGCTCAAGTATTTTGTGGTAAAAAGCTATTACATCTAAATTTTACTCTGAAAGACTTCAGAAAAAAATGAACAAGCTAAAAATAACTGAACTTATTTGATTGGTTATCAGTTCTACATTTGAAGTTTGAAATTTTTAGGCTGGGTGTGGCGGGGCACACCTTTAATCCCAGCATGATCAGCCTGGTTTTCATGAGTTCCATGATGCTAGCTAGGGCTAGTTTGAGACTCTTGTCTCCCGGGTACAGGGTCAGGGAAGAAGAGAAGGAGGAAAGGAAAAAAAATTAAAATTTCTCATAATGAAAAGCGATACCCCCCCACATACACACACACACACACACAAAAACCCTTTTGACCTGAGATGGCTGGTAGCATCTCTTCTTGTATCATCTTTTCGGGTGTTTGGCAGAAGCAGGCATAGGAAAACAGTAGACACTCCTCAGCACATTAAAGACTAACTGGTCTGGGTCGTGTAACCCAGTGTACTCGTTAATACACAGGATGAAAGAACATGATTGAATATTCCTGGACCAATCTCTGTACCACTTCTGTTGCTCCTACATCTTTCTGTGTTGTCATGTTGTCAGGTGCCAGCAATGCACCATGAACACACACAACCGTTTGGTAAGCACAGCCAACATGCATCTCGGTGGCCACGAGATCTGCTGACACAGGCCAGTTCACAAGCTTAGCTGTCTTTGTCCAGGGAAGCTGATACAGGGCTTGGACTCACATCCTGACATTCTGTGCCTGTCACTCTGAGTCTCTTGGCTTAGGAGACACAAAGGTGTCATAATGAAAAATATTTCTTCCAACTTCAAGTAAGAAAAAGGGGCAATGGTCTCTATCCAACATGGTCTGTACCATTTGGGCATTTCCATTTTGCCAGAGCTATTAACAGAAGGGTGCTTTCGCTTTCTGGCCGTAATACTAGGTGACAGCTTCACTGTGGCTGGGGTTGTGTCTTCTGTTTGTGAATTTTCAGCACAGGAAGGGGCGTGCCTGGTGGTCACCTGACACACCAGTGTTCCTCCTTCGAGTGACATCTACTTGAAGCCAGCCTGGAGGCCATGAAGAGGGGAGCAGCAGTCATTTTCTGTGGGCACTGTTGGCTTGAGGAGATCTGGCGTGACTCAGAACGTTACCCCCACATCTCTTAGCAGTAGGTCCGGAAGACTGCTGCAAGTTCAGGACTTCCAGCCGACTGAAGCAGATCTTTCACACAGACCTTCCCAGGAGCCTCTTCGCTGTTGCTCACAGTGTGGAGACATGGCTCGGACAACTGTTGGGCTCGCGTGCAAACACTTACTATGCACATTTGCTATCTGTATATTGTGCATTTGGCATCCCTGTCTTTTCTGTAACGTATTTTAGTGTCACCATTTCTGAGGTCTCAGCAGTTTAGAAAATTGTCCAACCTCAGTTCATTAGATTAGAAGCAATCCGTTTCTGGAAAATCTTTCTGGGAATTACTAAACTAAGTATCTGTGAGTTTAATCCCCTCTCTT